TACTCCCCAAAGGAAAAGCGGGATTTTTAAACAAGTCAGAAATGGGGTAAAGGCAGAGGGCCAGGTGTTTGGGAGACCAGTTTGGCCAGACTAGTTTGGTGAAGTAAGGGATGTGGCCAGAAGAGAGAGAGGTAGTTGAAGAGGGAAGGGTGGGCTCGTTGTGGAGTCTTAATGTCAGACTAAGGCAGTGGGAACCCAATGGAAGTTTCTGAGCAAAGGGGTAAGAGTGCAACGTGCACAGATGCATCAGCTGCTTGGAATGAAATCATGAAGTTGGAAAGTTACCATCTTGTCCAGGGTTGAGGCTTTGTTTGGGAACCTGAATGGGAAGAAGGAATGGGGGTGGAATGGGAGGATAGTAGTGGGAATGGAAAGGACAGGACAGAAATATTTAAGACATTATCCACCCACAGAGAGCAGCACAAGCCCACCTCAACCCAGGAGGGACCAAGGGGAAAGGAACTTTCTCCTTGGGTCATGTTAGGAGGAACCTGAAGGATAAAGGTGTGATGGTTCTGGTAAAGGTAGGGGAGCTGGCCCAACCTGGCTGGAGGTACAACTTAAACAGAGGGCCACTCCTAGAAAAGCCTCCACCCTCAAAGATTTCTCTGTGAGTAGGAGAAACCCTACCACAGGCCCCTGCTTCCATAACTCATGGGGCACCCACCATGCACAGCTTGGTTAAGGACAGTGATGCTTATTCATTCATTCATTCAGGCTGAGTGTCTATTATGTGCCCAATAGTGAGCAGTGCACTGCTTTTTAAATGTTTTTACTATGTTTGTTTCTATAAGGTTGTTAATAAATAAAAAGCCTGTGAGTTAGCACATGCAAACCTGCGTTCAAACTTAGAGGCCGTATTTTCAAGGGCCCGTATACTCTGGTTGATTACATGTTTTAAGCCTTTTAAGGTTATACACGTATTCATCCAAGAACAAAGCAGCTTCGTCTCTCCCCAGCTCCCAATCCTCTAGCCAGAATGGTATCATCCCATCAATGCAAGATCTGGTACAGGTCAAAACAGAGATCCCCCATCTCCCATCTGTAACCCAGAGCCAAGAAAGCACCATTCTTTACTATATTCAGAACTCAGAAAGACTCTAGCAACCTAAACCCCGAGACTCAGAGCCTCAAGCTAAGCCCTTTAGCCCTTAAAAGGTCTTGCACTCAATTCTGCCCTAGGATGGCTCTCATTAGTGTGTGGGAGGGAGGGGCAGCAGTTGTCGGGGGGTGGGGGGTTGCCATGTGTCTAAGAAAGATCATTCTCAAGCCTCCTGCGTGGCCTGGATTGACTGACCAGAACTACTCAAAGACATCTCTCAATTTGCCTGGTTTATGAGGAAGGAAGGTGCATATGTAGAACTGGTCGGCTCTGGGCAGAGAGAGCCAGAGTTCTGGCTTGACTGTCCTCTCTACTCCACAAGGCTCAGCTCAGAAGCCAGATGTACTCCTAAACTAGATCAGAACAACTCGTCTGCAGCTCATGTTAAAATGATACTCACCAGTAGACACTCACCTTCAAGCCTTGATGGTGACCAGTCTTGACCCAAGTTCCTCACTTCCAGACCTCTCATCACTGAGGCCCTCAGTGGTTTTGCTCTCCTCACTATACTCAAGTCCTCACCCGCTTCCCCCCCCCCCAACTCAGGTTCCCAGCAACCAGGGTGAGGAAACCCAATTAAACGAGAAAACTGCAGAGGAAAGAAGGCATCTGGATCCTATCACACCCTAGTAACCAGCAAGATACTCCGTCCCTCCAGTTACTGGGTTAGAAAGTGAGAGCTGAACTCTGGCCTTCCTACGTCCTCCCCTTTGGAACTGGAAGCAAGGCTACTCTTAATATTATGACTGCCTGCCCACAGATACCACCCCCTGCACTAAGCAGCAGCAGCAGAGGCAGGGGAATTTCCCTACACTTACCTGTACCCCAACTCTCACTACCCCACATGGTTCACTATGGATATCCCAAAGGATTCCAGAGCATCCCAGGAATGGATCCTCAGGCCCATCTCATTCTTAGCACAGGTCTGGGCACATACAAGGTAATAAATTAATACTTGTCGATTTTCTGTTCTGACCAGTCTAGGCATCTGAACAGGAAGTGGTGTAGTAAATCCCTGAAGCCTTCAGACCTGATACTTCTAGTCTGAGAATACATCAAGCTCTTACACATATTCACCTCATTCATTATCCCTGTCACTCCCCCCATACTCTGGAATGAAAGAGAGGACAGCTTTGCTCTCCATCTCACCTGGGTCAATCCAATCCCTTCTGTTGGCCTTCTCCAGACTAATTTTGGAAGCTCCCTTGCCTGGAATATCCTGAAGTGGACCTCGGGCCTGGGGCCTCTGCCAAGCCACAGCTGATGAATTATTCACATCCTGGAAAGATGGAGCTGCTGTTTGTCCCAAGAGCTAGATGCTAAGCATTTATCTCCCAGACTGAGTCCCCCCCACCCCTTCCCTTCACGTCCCCCACAAAAAGGCTGGAAAGTTTAAGCAACTGCCACAAGAGGGCTCCCTCTACCAACTCCTTCCTGGCATCCTTAACTAAGTACTCTCCTCAAGTAGTTTAGGGGTCAAAGGACATCTGCCATTAGGTTAAATCCTCTCCATTATCATTTATGAGAAGTTGTCTCTCCTGAAGATATCTACTTATTACTTTACAAATAAAGCACTTGAGAAAAGTGCTCCTAACTTATCAGCAACTTGCCACCAAGCAGGACTTTGAGAAGCCTAGGAGGAGGAAAGTATCCTCTGATTTTGCAGTGTCAGTGGGTAATGCTTGAAGGGTATGGGGCTGATAAAGGGATGTCTGGTTGAAGCAGCTTAAGGGCAGAAGCACTGATCCTTGAGGGCGATGGCTTATTAGTAACAGGGAAAACTGGCAGGGGAGGCAGTGGGGAGGTGACCGAATACAAATTACATACTTTATACTGGTATTTAGGCCTCTCAAACGTATTATACGCCTGAATTCTGCCCTGTCTCACAACAGCAAGATGGGGAGACCTCTGTCCTCAAAGCTTCAGAAGGTGGTAAGGGGGGTGCCTGCCTGGCTCACCCAGACTTCACCCACCCCCCAGTGGTGGCAGTATCCCTTTCTTTGCCTGGAGCCAGACAGTAGTAGCCAAAGAGGAATACAGTAGTGGTGGGAGTAGGATGGAGGCTTTATGAAAAAGGTCTTTTCCCCAAGATGTTTGTGGAATCTCTGGATGAAGCTCGGCATCCTGACAATGGCGAACCACATGCCTGAAGTAAAGCTGCTGCAGGGCCATCGGTCATAAGATGGCTGCCCAGACCTTTACCCTTCATGCTTGTTCACTGCTGAAGTCGAGAAGTGGATGAGTGAGGGGGACTCTGATTTGTGGATAAGCTTGAGTTACAGCAGTAACAGAGCAAACCTGGCTCCAACTAGAAGCACCTGGTAAGCAGGACTGGGGAGCTCTGAGAATGGAGGCAGTGTGAGGCACTCCAAGCTCAGGGCCATCCAGCCACTGAAGTCCCTAAAGTCTATCAACAAATGACAAATTCAGTAAAACCTGTGAAATCCAGAACCTGTGTAAGGCAGAAACCTGTCCGAGAAGGAAAACTCAAGTATTTTCCACTAATAGAGAGTGAAGGAAAGGGGTAAGACTGTACCCTGTCAGAGGCAGAAAACTCGTGAGACCTGAAAAAACAAGGCAGTTCTGTAGAGTTCCGGGCTCTCACAGGTTTCAGTGTATGGCTAAGTTCAAGGTTATCCCGTTTATAACCAGAGAAGCAAGGTCATGAAGCTCTCACACTCTGGAGCCCAATTAATTTAGGATCCCCTCTGAGGTATGATAGGGAAAAGCAAGCAGTGTGGAGACAGGCCTAAGTTTCTCCACAAACTCTCCCCACCCCATCCCCCCCAACCAAGTGTTCCCTTTACCCCTCTGCTGAGAGAAGCAGCAATGTGGAGTGAGGGACTAGAGACAGAACTGCCCTCACCATGAAACCACTGTCCCATGGCTGCTGCACATCAAGGACAAAGGTCTGCTCCAAAGCTGCATAAAACAAGTTTAATTTCCAACCAGGGTCACAGTCATCGCGTATCCCACATTTTGAGCAAGGATAGAGAAGGTGAGTTATTAAACATATACAATCTACATTCCAGAGGAGGAAAAAAAGAAGAGAAAAACCAGTTCAGAACTGCAGTTACCACTATAACACCACAAACAAACTTTGGCGGGGGAGGGGGGTCCCCAAGGAGAAGAAAGGCTGGAACAAGGAAAAGTGTAAAATTAAACCCACCAGAAGGGGATGGGGAGAGGGAGTGGGTAAGAAGGAAATGAATTGCCCAATCCCAAAAGAGCTGTTAGGTGAATGGAAATGCAGAAAGGACCACCCCGACCCTAGGGAACGCCTTACAAGGGCCTAGCAGCCAGGGACACTACCAAGATCACTTACTGCCCCCTGCTGGACAGACCGGTGCCAAGGCCAACCTCCAAGGCTGTTTCCTAACACCCTCAGCCCAAAATTGGTCCCAGGATCGCCACAGAACAAAGGTGGGGTGGGGGCCTGAAATGGTAAAACCTATTTTGGACTGACATCTAACTAGAGAGGGAACGAGGCAGAAGAAGAGGCATAGACCTCCCCAACCATAAAGATAGTGGGAAAGAAACAAGAGCAGGAAACCAAGTGTAGGAGAGAAACAAGGAAAAGAGAGACAAACAGGCAGTAACAGTGAATGAGCTGAGAAGGCAAAGGAGAGAGAGAGTTCAGGGAAGGAGAACAACAGGGGCTGTATGAAGAAAATCAGAGGAAACAGAGGCAAAGTGTGGAGATAAGCATGTGTGGGGTCAGGAGAGTGAATACATTTTCAAATGAAACAGAACCTCCAGCCCCACCCCTGCCACCACACCCACACCCACACCCACACCCACACACCCACACCCACACACCCACACCCACACCCACACACACACACACACAGACGCCTAGAGAGCAAGATACCTGCACACACCCACTGCATCTTGGGTAAGTAACACATCACTAAATAACTGGCACTGAGGGAGATGCCCCTGGAACCTCTCCTTCACAGTTCAATCTGGGGTGGGTGAGGGGGTTATTGATCTGCCTGCTTTAGATGAAGGTGGCAGGAAGCCTGGCTCCATGGAGGTGGAGTTTAGGACAGCCCTTCTGGAAAGGGTCCTTCAGCCACACTGTGCGGAGACCCTGGGCCCTGACTGTAGAAGGGTTATGGACTGCTGTCTTGGAGCTCAGGGCGCAGCCAGCACACACAGGAGCCCACAGAGCAGCTACAGCTTCACAGAAACTGCAGAGGTCAGGACCCAGGCCAGGACCACAGGCACAAGCACCACCTGCAGACACAGAGACGCAGTAGCAGCAGCTTCTGAATGACTATATATAACAGGGGGAGGAGCCTGCAGACCACCGCATCCCACCAGCACCACCAACTACTTCAGGATTCTATTTCTTAAACTCCAACCCCCAAACCATTTGTGGGAAATGGGCAAGGAGGGCAGGGGAATGCTGCTGGGATGGAGCAAGGAAGGACAGCAGGATGGTCTGAGGGCCTGGGAACAGCACAGAAAATCTTCATCCTTTAGCATGTCTCAGACTAAAAGAAGAGCTGGGGATTAGAGAGGTTGATCCTGAGGTCTGCTATGTCATCCCTACTCCCCAGCTCCCCATCAGACCTCCCAGCCAGCCCTGGTCAGGCCAGCAGGACTGCTAGGGTGATAAAACTTCTAATAATGGACAGATGAACCACCCAGGCCCCAAGATCAGAAGAGAAGGGTTGGGTGGGGTGGGGGGCAGGAAGGCAGGAGTGGAACTGGTCCATACTTCACCTTCTCCTTATAGTAAAAGAGAATGAAGATGGTACACCTGAGGCCCTCCTCGCAGTGCCCTGGGTCCCAAACACATACCATAGGCTTGCTACCTCCACCTCTCCCTCAAGCTTCTGAGGAACAGATCTAAGGATGGTGGGGGAGGATCACTTGAACACCCTGGACCAAAAAGAGAGAGTGGGTTTCTCTTTCCTTCCCACTTACAAGGCAGACCAGAATGGCATCACCTTGAGAACAGTCATCTAGAGATAAATGCCACCTCCCTGCCCTGAGTGGAGTGGGGAGAGGGGTACAAGAAAGAGGGTGATGGAGAACCCTTCATCTGTCCTATCACCCAGGAAAACCTACCTGCAGAGAGGAGAGGAACCAAGATAGGGGCAGCCCAGCCTGACTAAAACCCTGCCACCTACTTCCCTTTATCTCAGAAACATGGAAGAGGCAGATGATAAGGTAGAGTGGGCACTGTCCTAGCTCCAAGCCTTGACTGCACTCCACCCTCTCCACCCTTCTCCCTGGCCCCCACATATATATATCTCTATACATGTATATACACGCGCACACATGCACGCACACACAGAGAGGCCCGTGCAATTTCCATGTAGAACAGGGAGAGGGTGACAAAGAAAGGGAAGGCAGGGAGTGGAAGAGGGACTTGGGGGACAGGGAAGGGACTCAGATGCCAAGAACATAGCAACCAGAGCCAAACGGAGAGAATACCCCGCCCCACCCCATCCCCCAAACCCTAAGAGGTGACAGAGAGAGGGGGGCCATCCCACGAAATCATAACAATCTTGTTTTTGTTTTAAATCCAGTAAATTGGAATGACTCATCATCAGGGCAGCAATTGGGGAACTGGACTGGTCATGTCGACGGACAGGGGAGGGGAGAGGGTGGGAGACAACGGGAGGCAAGGCTCTTGCTGGGCATGCGGACATTATACCCAGGGCCCTGGCCACACTTGCAATGGGAAGGAAAGGGTAGGGAGACAGGTGTGTCGGGGATGGGTGGGGCAGTTGGATAGGGCTGCCTGGCTCTCACTTCTTGTTTTTGAGCTGATTGGCCAGCCAGTCCAGGCCTTCGTACAGCCCATCCCCGCTGGTGGCACAGGTGGCCTGAATGTACCAGTTGCGGTGACGCAGGGAATGCAGGCCCAGCTTGTCTGTGATCTCAGCAGCATTCATAGCATTAGGCAGATCCTGTAGTGTGAGGGAGACACACAAAACGGAGCCTAAGGAGCTTTCAAAGGCTTCTAGGGCACCCACTCACCAAAGAGACAGAAACCAGTACCCTCTTCTCCTATGTTCATGTCAGAAACCTCAGGCAAATCCTAAACTGTTTTGGATTTAGTCACCCTAGAACCCCAGATCCATGGCGTTAGAGGTCATCCCACTGAAGAGGTGGAAACTAAAATGGGGCTGGTAGGAAAGTGAAGAGGTGGTTCAGACTGGGCAAAGCATCAGGCCTGTGACCCTAGGAGCGAGGGCAGTTCCAGTAAAGTAGAAAACAGGGAAGATGAAAAAGGGATCTGAGATAATGAATCCACCACACTATCCCAGAGGACAGAAATGTTGTTTAAAAAAGCTGAGGTGGGGGACAAGAAGAGGGGCGTAAAGAAGCTAACTGGTCCTATTTCCCACACTTCCAGAAGCGAGAGTACAGTCACAGGCCTTCCCATACAGAGTCCCAAGGCCCCATGATTTCCAAGGCCAGGTTGCCCTCTCCCAAATTCAGGGGTGGGGAGAAATCGCACCTGTTTGTTTGCGAAGACAAGCAGCACAGCATCCCGGAGCTCATCCTCCGCCAGCATTCTCATCAGCTCCTCCCGGGCCTCATTTACTCGCTCCCGGTCATTGCTGTCCACCACAAATATCAACCCTAGGGAGGCAGAGCATGGCTGCACAGAGATGACAGATGACCCTCCCCCCCACCCCCACCACCAAAAGACAACATGGTCCTCATACCACCCAAACATCTGCTCCCTTTCCGCCTCCTTTCCCCAACCCCCAGGAGCTGCAGCAGGGCAAGGACTGGCTGCCCATAACCAAGGAAACAGCAACACTCTGCTCATACAGGGTGTGTGCCCACCTCTGGGCAGTTCATATGCCATACCTTGGGTGTTCTGGAAGTAATGTCTCCAGAGAGGCCGAATCTTGTCCTGGCCACCAACATCCCAAACTGTGAAGCTAATGTTCTTGTATTCCACTGTCTCCACATTGAACCCTTTGAAAAAAGCAGGTAATGGCCACTAGGCCTCAAACACAGGCCTGCAAACAACACCCCAATAGATTTGTTTCTGTTTCCCCCGAGCCTTGGTCATGACCCCAGCAATGGAAAGAAAGCTAAGATTTCCCCAGATTTGGTGTTCCTTGACTAGTAGCTTGAAGGCCAAAAAGAAAACCAAAGAGAAGTGGAAGAGGACAAGGCGGGCCAGCCAGGAGATTCACAATTGCCTAGGTAACTTGAGCCAGCCTTCCTCATCCATTCTCTCAGTCTTTAGCTCTCCCTCCTACAAAGAAACAGCTTGACCCTACTCAGTCTGCCTGGGCTAAGAAGTGGGGCCTGAGACGCAGTGAAAAGAGTGAAGTAAGCTACAGTCCTGGAGCCCCAAATATAGAGTCAGCTGACCATATGGAGCCCCCATCACATGGCTAATGTTCTCCCTCCCAGAGGCAGGTCTTAATCAGGATCAGGGCCACCAAAGATCTAAACCAAAGCAATTCCAGGTTTCTGGCAAGAAAATCAAAGCCCTTCACCTGCTTTCCAAACAACACAGAGAACAAACCAACCCTAGTGCCTGAGGGCAACTGCTGAGTGCCAGGCTGCGGAAGTTCCCGCATCAGGGAGGGCCAGGGTAGGTGGGCAAACAGCAGTCCCAGCACCTGCTAGTGAGCTAAATAACCATTCTTCCTGAACCCCACAGATTGCATGGACTTGCCCTGGGAAAAGAGGCCAAGTGGAAGCCCTGCCTCAGCCACTGCATGAAAGCTCACATCCAAGCTGTGCCCTTACCAATGGTGGGGATGGTGGTGACGATCTCCCCCAGTTTCAGCTTGTACAGGATGGTGGTCTTTCCTGCAGCATCCAGGCCCACCATCAGGATGCGCATCTCCTTCTTCCCAATCAGGCTCTTGAGAAGGTTTCCAAAGATATTTCCCATGATCACAGCAGCTGCTTCTGAGGACAGCGGGGCCCAAGCGGAGGCAGTGGCAATCTGGTTTTGGCCTGGTCCCTGGTATGGAGGACTTGACCCTAGGCAAAGGAAATGAAAGCTCACTACCACCATTTGCTTGTCAAGACTTCATGTACACAGGGTTTGCCAAAATCGTGGCTGGAGTCCACTCATGACTAACTGAGAGCCTGAGGAGACTGAATATGAAGGCCCACTCAGACACATCCGGAGTCTTCGGGAGCAGAGACAAAGCAGCGAACACTCAGGAGCTCTGCTCTACCACTAATTTAACTGTGTGACTTTGGCAGGTTACTTCACTTTCCATATCTGCATCTGTAAATGGAGGGCGTTGGACACGATGATTTCTAAAGTCCCTTCAGTTTTGACAGTCTATGCTATACCCTAAGGCGCTGTGGGAACATCATTAATGCCCCTCCCTCCCCCAACCTTACCCTGAGACTTCTAGAAAGGGTGGGAGAGGAGGGCGTGGAATGAGGAGTGGCTCTCTGTGACTCTCAACAAGGTTCAGGCTTGCCAGGTTCCCAAAGTTTATGCTCTCTGCTCTAATGAAGAGAATCTGTTTGTTCTCTTCCCATATTTCTGCAATTCCACCTTCTTTCTACACACCAAAATAAATGAGGGAGAAACAGACAGCAGCACTCCTAAAAGAGACTGATCTTTTCCACTCTGTAAAATGCCGACTGCTGAAGTCGTGCCCTATTCACAGAGAGTTGGGTAGAGGGGGCACCCTTCACTCCTCAGCTGGGCAGATCCTCGGCTCTGCTGTGGCCCATCCAAGGCAAGCTGCTCCACATACTCACTTGCAATGAGGTACTCCTCCCATCCCCTGCTTCTTCCTTAACCCCTTTCAGTCCATTCTCCACAAAGCAGCCAGAGTGATTATAAACCCAAAATCAGGTCATGTTGCTCCTCTGTTCAAAATCCTCTCTTGGTTTCTCCCTTTCAGTGAAATCCAAAGCCCGTGGCATGGCCTACAAGGTCCTGCCCTATCTGCACTCCCCTACTTCTCCTGACTCCTACCATTCTCTCCTCTGCTTACTCTACTCCAAATTCCCCAACACTTTCCTGCCTCAAAGCTTTTGTACTTGCTTGCTAGTCCCTCTGCCTGGAATCATCCTCTCCTAGATAACTTTCATGGATTACTTGCTCACTTCCTTCAGGTGTCTGTTCAGATGTTACCTTATCAATGAGGACTTCCATAATCACCTACATAAAACACACACACACCACTTGCTACCCATTTATCTCTTCTTCATAGCACTTAACACCATCTGACATATTACATATTTGTTTCTTGCTGTACTGTCTTCTCTTCCTGTGTCAGCTCCTTGTCTATTTTGTTCACTGCTGTGTCCGCAGTACCAAGAATAATGCCTGGCACATTAATAGTTGAATAACTGAACTAACTTTTAGGGTCTCTTCTGGCCTCACTAGCAGCTCACTCACATTGGACACTTATGCCTAGTACATAGTAGGCTCTTAACAAACACCTGCTGAAAGAATGAAGGGGAGCATAAGAACCACTGTGAAGGCACAAACTGCCTATCTGCCCAGCCACTGCCCCCAATGACCGATCACAGATTCCTTCAGACACTCCCTCTCTTACTGCCTCCCTCTCTATAGCACATGGCAGCCACAGAAATGCCTCTTTGAAACAATACTGAAATGGGGGTTCAGAATCTCCAGTGCCAGCCAGTCCTGTGCGCCTGCGGGGGCATGCGTCAGCAGGCAGCTTGTTCAGCAATCACCATATGCCAGCGGCTGGCATCTTCTACAGAGTCTCAGAACCAGAGAGACACACACACCCCAAACCCAGCAGGCGAAAGAACAGGTCAAGACAGAGTGCACCCAAACCCAAGAATGTGAAAGGTAGATGGGGAGGGATCCTACTCACAAGCCAAAGCACGGGAGTTTGATAGAAGTTTAGTTGGTTTTTCAAAAACTTCTTCAGGTTTTTTTTTTTTTCTCCTTACTCTTCTCAGTTTGCAGCAAATTCCAGACTAGTGCAAAAGAGCCAGGTCAACAGCCCCTGGAGACCAAAGTACTAGTTTGTCCAAAAAACAGAAAACAATGAGCACTTACGGAGTGTTTCATCTTCAAAGGCCTCTCTAGACATCCACTAATGAGCCAGGCGTGGTGTTCCCAGTAGGTTCCCCCAGATGAGCCCTGCCCCTGACCCAGAGGGCTCACATCCCAGGGAGAGGACCTGGCTCAACCTTAGGGCTCAACCTCAGCCAAGTCGCCCACTAGCTATCCTCCCTGCCCTTCCTGCCTCAACGCACCCAAGCAGACAGAGTCCCGAGGATCCCCGAGGCAAGAGGGGACACCAGCCCAGCTAGGAAGATCAAATCCCACCAACCCTGGCAATCTGTGGTAGTTAACACTTCTGGTTCTGCTATCATCACCTCCAGAAATTTAAACCTCTCCCAAGTCCTCTTAGTCTTTAGCCTGCCTCCTGCTCAGGTGGTCTTTCCTTCAGCTCCAGATGATAGACCTTTAAAGGTCTGGTAATGGGCTTTGGCCCAGATTCTGAATTGAATCTATACCACACATTTATCTTGCTGTCCTTAATGGTGGGAACTACTGCTGATTAAATGACTACCAACCGTGAGTATAGCAGCGGCTGAAAAAGATATAAGCGGCCAAAATCCCTTGCCCCAGAACATGCGTACACTGTCCTTTAGTTTGCGTCTTTGCTAAGCTGCCATGCTGAAGTCTTGGTTCAAAAGCTGATCCCAGCATTGCAGCTATTTCTATTTCCTGGATATCACATCAAGGCCCCTGAATTATCTGAACCACTCATGTGATACTTACTACCTTGTGGAGTTAAGTTTTTTCTTCTTTTACAAACCCATATATTTACTAACTCCCCAATTAGACCGTGTATTCCCTATGCGTCACGATGATGCCTTTTATTTATTTTCAAGCTGCACTCACTCCCAGTGCCAAGCCCACTGCAGGAGTTCAATCGAGCACATCAGCTAATTTAAGCCTCATCTGAGGACGTCCTCATACCACTTCTTCTGCCCTAGCAGTACTTAGTATCTCTACGTAATGCCAGATGGCTGTTTAGATATCCCACTGATTCTCGGCCATTTTCCACACATCTGACACCAGGACTGGTTTAAGAACACCATGAAAGGATGAGAAGACAAAAACTGGTGGTAATTTTCTCTTGCTATTTAACAGGCAGTGGGGCTGACGGCTGCCTGATGAAATATCCTGAGTAGCTACCATGTATCCCCGGGGTAGCCCAGGGCCTTGAAATTAAAGGACATCATGACTCCTCTTTAAATATAATCAGGAGCTTGACTCAGCATGAGCATTCCAGAGGGGATGCTGGCTTTCTTGTCCTGGTTTTCTGGGTCCCTGCTTATCACCAGATAGCATGTTGTCCCGCCACCAGGACTGTGGCAGCTTTTAGCTTTGTGCCATGAATACAAATGTTTGGTTACACTTTCACCATAATGCATTCCTAGAAAAAGCTCTGGAAAGCAGAAAGGCAAACAAACAAACCCTGGATTGCTTCCTTATGTATTGTATAGCTTATAGTTATTCTCTCTATCACTACAGATGGCACTCTGTGTTGATGAGGCAAAATGCCAGGGCTCTAGGGCTGCTGGAAACCAGGAATCAGCAGTTAAAACTGAAGATGAGTGGTTCAAGATGAAAAAAATGAAATACAGAAATATCTCTATTAACAAAGAGGGTATCTCAGCAATATATTTTATAGTCAGAAACTTTGTTATAAGAAATAAAAATAACAATAGGAGCTCTAAAAATGTACTCCTAATTAATTTTTTAAAATGTACTTCAGTACAGGGGGGACCTCATACCATCAAGATAGCAGTGCTGGGACCAGAATGCGCCCTTTGGACCAGGGTCCCTGCGCAGAGAAGCTCCTAGTCTGGGGCACACTGATGAGAAGAAGGCTGACAAAGAGAAAAAGCCTTCCCCTGGAGCTGACGCCCTGAATTTGGACTTTTGGCCTACTCTACCGTGAAGAAATAAATTTCTCTTTGTTAAAGCCATCCACTTGTGGTATTTCTGTTGTAGCAGCACTAGATGACTAAGAGAATTTGGTACTGAGAGTGGGGTACTGCTCTAACAGATACCTAAAACGTGGAAGCAGCTTTGAAACTGTGAATGGATAGAGAAGCAGCAGTGGCAGAGGATCAGCAACAGCAGAGGATCTGCAGCGACAGAGAATGGCAACAGCAGAGAACCAACAGCAGCAGAACCAGAAGATCAGCGCAACACAGCGCTGGAGCCAACCCACAGAGCGAGAGAGCTGAGTGCCTGTGCACAGGAGGCTTCCTGGCAGAGTGGGGTGCCTCCGAGTACTTATAGGTGGAGCTAGGCTTGCCGACCCATGGAGCAAGGGAGTTGAGTGCCTGTGCGCAGGAGGCTTCCTGGCGGAGTGGGGTGCCTCCAGGCACTTACGGTGGAGCTACAGACCTTTGGAACACTTGCCCCAGCAGAGCAGATTGTAGGCATGAGGCCCCAGGAGCCGAGAGGCTAAGAAACCAGAAAACAGAAGCTGAAGAGACAAGGGACACAAGAAGCGAGCTGCTTCAGTCTCAGAAGGTATGGCCATGACCTCAGGGGTTTCAAAGGGTGGAACCACCATGGCCTCTGGTGTTTCTAAGGGGGGAGTTGCCACTCAGATGGACTAGGAGAATGGTGCACCTAAAGTCGAGGGAGCAGAGTTGCCGTCCCAGTGGGCCTGGAAGGCAAAGCTGAAGCTCAGGGCCGAGAATCTGGAGACTGTGGCCAATACCTAGAGTCTGGCGGGCAGGGCCACTGTGTAAATTGTCTCAGAGAACAGAGGTTTATTTTCAAAGCCTTGAGGGCTAATGTAACGTGTTCTGCTGACTTGCTTGGTTCCTGTTATCCCTTCTTTCCCTCCAGTTTCTCCCATTTGTAATGGAAATGTCTAGCTTGTGCCTGTTCTGCCATTGTACCTCTGGAAGCAGATAACCTGTATTCTAGATTTCACAGGTGAAGAGGAATTTTTAGATTTTGGACTTGGAGTTAAGACTTTTGCTATGATATGATGGGGTGAATATGTTTTCCATGTTGCAAGGATGTGATTTTTTGAGAGTGAAAGGGTGGAATGTCATGGTTTGAATGATGTCCCCCCAAAAATGTGTGTATCGATTTGGCTGGGCCATGAGTCCCAGACTTGTGTGGTCGGCCTCCATTTTGTGATTGTAATTTTAAGTTAAAGAGGATTAGGGTGGGATTGTAACACCACCCTTACCCAGGTGGCATCCCTGATCCTATGTAAAGGGAGTTTCCGTAGGGTGTGGCCTGCACCACCTTTTACCTTACAAGAGCTAAAAGGAAAGGGAAGCAAGCAGATAATGGGGGACCTCATACCATCAAGAAAGCAGTGCCAGGAGCAGAGTGTGCCCTTTGGACTGGGGTCCCTGCGCAGAGAAACTCCTAGTCCAGGGAACACTGATGAGAAGAAGGCCGACACAGAGAGAAAGCCTTCCCCTGGAGCTGACGCCCTGAATGTGGACTTTTAGCCTACTTTACTGTGAAGAAATAAATTTCTCTTTGTTAAAGCCCTCTCCCTCCCAAAAAAAAAAAAATGTACTTCACTACAATGGTCCCACTTAATAGACTTTCTAAACCCTGAAGAGGCAAGCTGTCACTGTAACTGGCTCCTCAGCCATCCTGGCTTGTGTGTGTTGCAGGAACACACTTGCCTTACTCTCCATGTGATTCTGAGAGTCACATCTCAGTATGCCACACACACTTACTTGCTCCACTCAATTCCAACGACTCACCCAGGCATGTGTCCTGAGACACCTCTGAGAGGACTCCTGATCCAGCACCACCTCCTCCACTTCAAGCTACATGGGTCCAGGGAAAGGAAGAGCAGTTTCCCAGACCCTCTGGTTCCAGGTGGGGTACACTAAAAGAAACTTTGTTTCCAGATAATTTTCAAATTGAGATATCACTAATAGAGATGCTATTTTTGGCAGCTAAATGAGCAGACCAATAAGCTTTAAGGAAACAAGATGAGGGGCTGCCTGTATTTAGATTTTCTTTAGTGCAGGTGGCTTATGACCTCTGTAAACTTTCCAAGTTTTCTGTCTCAAGAGCACTATAATCAGCACACAAGGACTCCTAGATTAGTATCTTAACAAATTTTATTGGACTCAAGGATTTCCCAAAGCCAAGAAATAGCTTCTGATGTCAGCTCCCATCCATTAATCAAATAATTATGGAGTATCCTGAACCATGGATACAGAAAGGAAGACACTTCCTGCCTTCATAAAACACAGTCTAGTGGGAAAGAAAGACTAGTAAACAGAGAAAGACTAGTAAACAAAACAGTGTGAGGATAAGAGTCAGGTAAGTACACAGTATTATGGGGACAGACAGCTGCAGCAGTTAAGACTAGGGGAGCAAAGGATGATTCTCAGACATGATTCTCAGGTCACATTTGAGCTGACTCCTGAAGGACAAGTAGGAAGTAATTAGACAACAATGAAGAGGAAATGGGGGAGAAGGAATAGCATCTGCGAAGAAGGCATAAGAGACTTGAGTTAGAGATAGAACTCTTTATTAGCTAAAATCAGGTACAAATGGGAGGTAGTTTATTTGGATGCAACATGGTAAGTAAAAGAAAGTGATGAGGGATGATACCAGAGAGATAAGCAAGGGGCTAGATTTTAACGAGCCTTAAAGACCAGGCTGAGTAACATGATCAAGTATGAGCTTTAGAAAACCATTCTGGCAGCAGTTTATGGAATGAATAAGAAGGGAGAAAGACTGGAGGCAGAGAGAGGACTTGGGTAACAGTAACACAGATGAGAAATCATGAGTTCTTAACTAGGGGCGGCAATAGAGAGGAGGGCAGATTGGAAACAGCTGGTAGAATCCACAGGATTTAATGTCTGATTAAACATAGGAAGGACGAGGAGTCGCAGATAACTCCCAGGTTTCTGGCCCGGGTGAGTGGGTGGCATTTCCCAGATACGAAACACAAGAGGAAGAGATCTGGGGGATGAAGATGTTTATTTTTAGATTAAACATTGATTTTGAGGTGCTAAGGTATGAAGCTCAGTAGAAAAGTCTGGGCAGGGTATTTGCGATTCATCTGCGCAGATAGTAACTGAAGCTATAAGAGGAACCAAGATGACCTAGGGTGGCAGCAAATATTGGCTGCCTACCCAACAGCCATTTCTATTTTGTTCAGATGTTGGGGGTGGGGGGCATTTGACATGGGCTTCAAGTAAGGTGGCTCCTCTCTAGCTCTAGGGAATGAACTAATTAACCTGAAGAATCTGGGCATTCCATTGCCCTTGCCAGGGATTGGGTCAGGAATGGACATGTACTAAGATGTAGAGAAAGTCTGCTGAAGCCATCTGGGAAAGTTTTCCCCAATCTTAAAAAAAGGACATATGGCAATATTTTCTCTCCAGCCTTTGGATGCTGATATGTAAGGGTGATGCTTGGAGCTTCTGGAGTAACCTTGAGACCATGAAGGGAAAGACATGAGAACTCCAGGATGTCAGAGCAGAAAAATGGAGAAAACTTGGGTCCTTAATGACATTGTCAAGCTGATGGATTAAAAAATCAAACAAACAAAAAAGAAGTGTCTATCCCCAGACTTCTTGTTATGTGATTTAATAAATCCCCGTATTGTTTGAGTCACATGTGTGTTTTCTATCTTTTGCAGTTGAAACATCCTAACTGAGAGAGTATGTACAGCGGGATGGGAGAAAAGGTTAAAGGCAGAAACCCGGGACACATCAACATTTAAAGTAGTGGGCAGAAAAACAGCCAGGAGGAAACTAAGAAACAAAAAGAGGGGTAGAAGGGAAATCAAGAAAGCAAGACATATAGGCACCAATGAGGAAAGAGCATAAAAAAAGAGAGAAGGTCAAAGGCTGTAGATAAAGCCTGAAAGGAACCTACAGAACTACTAGGCAATCAATGGCAACCTTGGTACAAACTAGAACATATCTAACTAAAATTAGCCCTCGCTTAACTTAATTACAGTAGTAGCGTTTAGGTTTCAGGCCAGAAATGGTATGCCAGTTTCCCTTCTAGTCCTAATCAGCGACAAAAAAGGTCCTCGAGAAGACTCCAAAACTGGAAAACCTGAAGGAAGCCACAGCTACCAAGCAAAGGAGGATCCCGAATCTCCCTGTCTGTTGGAGACTCAACACTCTGGGAAGGGTCTAGCTTTTCAGTGAACGACCCTCAGCAAGTGAGTCAGAAGAGGGCATTCAGGGTCCATTTCAGAATGCATGGCCTAGCCAAATGAAACAGTGACCAAATAAAAACTAGACTCATTTGTTTCTTTAAAATATTCTGTGGCACTGCTCTCTGACCAAAGCTTTCAACTTGTCCTATTCTGAGAATCTGACCAGTTTATAATTGTTCCTGATATTCTCTGGCTGTTCCACTGCCCACATGTATGGCCTTAGATATCCAGAAAATTGTGCTTGCCCAATTGCAAAATCAATGGAAATTCCAACAGTAGTTAGCCTAAAGCCCTAAACCTTTGCCTCCAACCGGGTCCCATTGAGTAGGTCAAGATAGCAGCTGACAGTGAAGAGATCAAACAGGAAGCCAAGGTTTGGACAAAGCCAACCATTATAGAACAGCCTAAGGATACGGTAAGACCTGGTGGCACAGTGGAGCCCTGGTGACGCAGTGGTTAAGAGCTGGGCTACTAACCAAAAGGTTGGTAGTTAAAATCCACCAGCCTCTCCCTGGAAACTCTATGGGGCAGTTCTACTCTGTCCTATAAGTTGCAATGAGTTGGAATTGACTCAACGGCAACAGGTTTTAAGGAAATGGATGAACAGGAAACTGCCTACCTTGGGGAATAAGACTTGTCTGCTCCCTCAGCACCTCAAACACACTTCTACTCTAGGACTTAACCTTAGTATGGTTTAATTCATGTTTGTCTGTTTCTCTCTCCAGAGCTGAAGCTTCCCAAACAATGCGCCTCTAATGTGTTACAGGTCAGATGAAGATACTGATCCCAGCAGCCACTGGATGGCTGGGCAGGGAATGGAATGGCTAGAGCCCTTGGGCCAGTCATCTCAGGTTTCAAGCAGCTGTGTGTGTGTATCACTATTACTATTTTCTGTGTATGCTATGATGGGGAAAAGCCTAGGAAGTACTTCACTAAAACCATGAGCCCCTTGCCAGCAGGGACCATGCTTTATTCTATTTCATGTCCCCAGGATCCAGCACCATGACTGACCTGTAGCTAATGATTGACATGCTTCTTGTTGAAAAGCATAGTTCTCATTATGGTGGCAAAACATTTGAAAGGTTGAGAAAGACAGAATTCTACAGATGATCCCCAGTCCTTTTCCTGTATCTGACAAACTGGAAACGTGGTTTCCATGTTCTCAGAGCCCTAGGTTCCTTGGACAGGATTCAGACGCTGCCTGGCTGGGGAGGAGGAATCATACGAGGGCTCTAATTATTCTCCCCACTACCTCCAGAGCAGCTCCACTGTTATCCATTTTATATACAAAAGCAAGCACAATTTTATTTAAGGCAAGGTTTGACTGCCATAAAAAAAAAAAAAAAAAAAGGACAAAAACCATTGCAACAGAGAACAAATACTCTACTACATCCTAAACTAAGGCTGAAGTTTAAACATTCATGCTCAACACTCCTGTGCGTAAGTTAATAAAGGAAGGGTTGTGCCAGGCTCTCCCCAGTAATAGAAGGCTAAAAGGTACCAGGAGACTTGCCACACCCAGCCGTCTCACCTGTTTTTAGGAATATGTTGATAATGGTGGACCCCTCAAATCTTGAAGCATTTCCTTTCTGGTCCATATGGTGTAGCAGATCCTTTGCAGAAGTCTGTTACCGAGCTCTAACACATTTGTCAAATCCCTGCCTCAGTTCTTTCTCACACTACATACCAAAGCATCCAAACATTTGTGAGACTCTTTCTAAATGCTCCCCGTGTCTTTTCATTATCAAAAAGCTTTATTAGTATTCTACCTATATCTGCAACAGATGCTGAATAAGGTACAGTAGATGAAGAATTACAAAGATACCACAATCTGGACCTAATACAGTACATTCTGAAACAGATACTCAGAGGCACACACTTGAACGAGATCTAACTAAATAGCAAGAGTAGCCCAGGAAATGGAGGATCCTGAAATACTGCTTGAGCCCTAAAATAATGGGACCCAGGAATCTAAATCCCTGACCTAAGTCAATCAGGGTGCTCTTTTATGAAGAAGTCAACCAATACCTCAGAGTCACACTGACTTTTCTAACATGAGCACTATTCTCAAGCCCCCACGTCCTCACCCTACATCCATGTTGATGGTTCAGGGCCCCTGCCTGGCTCCAGCTTCACCTCCCAGTCAGGCAGCAGGAGCTGCTTCTGTGAGGCTGATGCTGAAAAAAGACTTCCCTGCTCATAAGCCTACAACCAGCACAGAAAGTCATGGTAACAAGCATCTCTCCACACAGGGCCTCAGGCAGCAAGTTGTTCTTTTGTAAGCCCCTACTCCTTTAATACAGCCCTGAATGTTCATATTAGTACTACAATCACAATGATGATTGTTATCAGCATCTAATATTTATTTGATGCTTACTATGTACACAATACTAAGCACTTTACACGTATTATATCTCATTTAACTCTCACGACAACCCAATGAAAATGAAGCTAAGAAAGGGTAAGTAATTTCACCAAAAACATGCAACTAGTGATTTACAGGGGCAGTATGTGAACCCAATTTTGTCTGATTCCAAAGCCCACACTATTCTGCCTCTAAATTCACCTGCAACCAAAATGGTGAGAACCACACATGGTGATATTCTTTGAGTCTTGGGCCTCTTGGCATCTGTTTTTAAAGCTATTTAGGAAAGCAGATTCCATAATTTTCCTCAGTTACATACTCCAGCTTTAGCAAACCTGGTTTTAAAGAAGTTCCTCCTTCTGACTAACAAATCCCACCCACTGTCCTCTGAGTCCATTTCCTCTTATTCTGACTCCAGTGGAAGAGAGACTAGCACAGATGAACACACACCACAATATAACCCTTTGTGCACTTAAGACTGCACTTCCACTCTTCCCAGCCTTGTGTCTGCTCTCCTTTGTACTGCATTCAGTATAACAGTAGTAGCAGCTACCATTCACTGGCACCAATGCTGTGCCAGGCACCATATACATATATTCGCCCTTCCTCTGCTATCTCCAGAATCTCAATTTGAAGACAACACTCTGAGGGGCTTAAGTCTAACGGAGAGCACTTACTACAGAATCAGGAAGCAGGAGATCTGGGATTTCAGATAAATAAGGATTCTATGTTCTAGAAATATTTTTCTCTTTAGGACTTAGCTTCCATTATCCATGACTGTATTATGCCTCTCAGGAAGGCAGGGAGACTAGAATTTCTTAATTATAGAGTCCAAGGGTCTCTGTGTCCTTGCTTGGTTATCTCTAGGCACTCCCCCTGACAGCCAAGCCATCTCTTTCCCTTTCCTTTAACTATAGTTAGAAAATTCGATGAGTTCTACCCATTCACACCCTGTATTCACTTATGCATTCATCATGAGTGCATACTGTGTGCAAAGGCATTCTGGGACACAAGAAATGAGATCCAATTTCTGCACTCAGAAAGCTTCTAGTATCTTTGGAAAACCAAGGTGTACATATATAAAAAACTTTGACTAGGCAAAGTAATAATTCTATGCTGGGAGGCAGGAGGCATCTGAATATTTGATACATGATGGCCTTTCCCAGCTGAATCCAAGGTCAATGATTCATTCTGAACCTCAAGGGATCCATTTCTTTCTTAGAATGAGCGTTTACAGACATATTATTCAGCCTTGGGTCTAACGTGAAATTACCACTCCACTGTCCCATGTCAGTCACAGGAAGTGGAGTTACTTGCCCCAACAGGCATAACACAGAATGGCAGCAAATACTGTCACCACCTACCTGACTGGGGACAAGGAAGGAAGCATGCAGAGACTAGATTCAGTCCTACTGCAATGGCTCAAGCAATCAGACTCCTACAGCAGATCTCCTCCCAATAAAACTTTCATGCCATAGACCGGGGTGACCCAATCCAACAGCAGCAGAGACAGGTTTTAAGTTACACTTCTCCCTCACCTGGATGACCTCACTATTTCTTCTCACTTCTGACCACACACCATACTCCTCCACCTCCACCACCACACTCCTCCTGGCCCGGCCAGATGGAGACTAGCAAGCAAGCGGTCAGTAATACAATCCAGACAGAAGGGAACTCCCCCAAAAAGAGGAGCTACTACTTTGCTAATCAAGTGGCCCGTATTACCAGGGAAGTCCACCTCCCCCTCTTTCCCTCAAACACTGGTGTAAGCAATGCCTCCATTTTCTGTTCCGGGAATCCTGGTACTTCCTAAAGAAAGAAAGCGGATTGGAAGACACACACTCAGGGCCAGCGACAAGATGCTCCCTCCTCCTGTGAGACCGCCCCCGCTTTGCCTGGGGGAAGAAGGCCCCACCTCTCCTCTCCAAGCAAGATCAGATCCCCCTCCCCCTTCTCCTGCCTCCTCTCCTCCCTCTCTCCACCTGCTGCCCGCTTCCCTATCTGCGGTTCCCAAGACCCGAAAGCGCAACCTCCACTAAAACAGAGCCCCCGGAGTGCCCCACTAGCCTGCCCTGCCGGAATCGCTAAACCCCCCCTTACGCACCCCTGCACCATGGTTGGGGGGAGGGTGTCACCACAGCAAGGCTTCTCTCCGGTCTCCTATTGCTATGGGGTGGAAGAGAGAAGAGGGCAGCAGAAAGCGGCTTTCCCTAGCCCTTTAACAGAAAAAAGATACAAAACAGCCATCACCGCCCCCGCCATCAGCGCTCTCTGGACGGCTTTCCTCCCTCGCAAGTCCACCTCCTTCAGGCAAGGGGAACCTAACTGCAGCCCAGGTCGCCCCCTTGTGCGAGGCGGAGGACAAATCCGTGTGCGCCCCTCCACCCCCAGCCCAGCTCTGCGTCCTTCAAATGCGGGGGCAGGCGTGGGACTGGCCCATTACCGCCTTTCCGAGCTCCCCGGTGGGAAGGACCACACCGCCCCATGCCAGGCAGTGTCGGGGGTGGGGGCGCTATCCCCTCAGCCCCCACCCCGAGCCTTTCCTCTATGAGGACCCGCCTTCCCTCCCTAGCCCCTCACCTGTTCCAGCTCCCAGCTCAGCTGCTGCGGCCGCCGCCTCCGCCCCCGCAGGTTCTGCTTGGACGTCCCTCCACTCCCTTCAGCTCCCCGAGCCGACTTCGGCGCGGCCACTACCCTAGCCGCGCTCCCCGGTTCCCTCCCTCCTTCCCTTCACCTAGCACCGGAAGCCGCGACGGCGACGGGAGCTGCGCGGTTCACCCCCACCCCCAGATACTTCCCACCTCCCGGATCACGCGAGAGTTACGCGGCTGCTGGTGCCAGTTCTCGCGAGATCCATCACCATGGCAGCGATTGCAGCAGAGACAGCCAGGTTCTGGATCTGGAGTTTGGGCGGGGGCCGGTGTGGGGGCTGGAGGCTGCGGGTGGCGGAGGCTGGAGCCAAGGACTGGGGATGAGGCAGTGGGGACTGAGGTGAGAATCCCAAGTTCTGGCCTCTGGCCGTGCCTAGAATCTGAGAATGAGGCCGCGTACCGGCTGCAGAAGAGATAAGTTGGGCTGAGACGCCCGAGGCTCTTGGGCGAAGCCAGGAACGGGGTCAGTCCTTGCCTTGGCCCACCTTACCCCGCCAGACCTCATCTTTCTTTACCAGGGCCAGCTGCATCCCACTGAGAAGCCTCACTGCACCAGTGTTACTCACTACCCTTAAAGAATAGGTTACTCTGGGGTCTGAATAAGAGATCTTTTCCCATAGGGAAGAGGAGGGAGAGTGCTGAATTTAAAGAACTGAAGGAAACTGGACTCTGGGCCAGTCAGGAAGCTGGAACTTGAAAGATAGAAACTAGTGAAGCCTAATGTTCAGACATGTAGTCTGAGGAAGTGTACCTACATGAGTATGGATTTTAGTAACCCAAGGAATGTGAAGGACTTTGCAGCCAATGTTTCTCGCCTCCTACCCAGCCCCATGTCCCTTACACTCATTTTGCACCTAGACATGCAAAGCTGCCTTGCAACAGTCATGGCTGTGATAGAAAGACACAAGTAATGCTAAGAACACGAGAAAACCCAAACCCGTTGCTGTAGAGTCAATTCAAACTCATAGCGACCCTACAGAACAGAGTACAACTGCCCCATAGGGTTTCCAAAGAGCAGCTGGTGGATTCGAACTGCCGAGCTTTTGGTTAGCAGCTGTAGCTCTTAACCACTGCGCCACTAGGGTTCCTTTAAATGCCCTCTCTCCCTGCTGATAGCAGTATAAGGGAACACATGGCTCTTCTCTAAGGATGAAGCAGCAGTTGTTGCTTTTCTGGACTTTTTTGCCTTGTTTCTTTTCTCCTTCCAAGAAGAACTAGGCTGGTGGTAGCCATACTATGTCTGCTGTCTCATCCGCATCAATCCCTGTGTCATGGTTTGAATTACGTCCCCCAAAAAATGTGTCTATCAATTTGGCTAGGCCATGATTCCTGGTAC